TTTAACTATTTTGTTTTACAAATTATCAAGATAATATTTTCCTCTTTTTTTTTTTTTGAAGATATTATTGGGGAATTGGGGAATTGGGGGAGGGAACAGCATTGGGGAATTGGGGAAAGAGAACAGACAAGTTGCTGTCCTTTTGTTCTTCAGTCTAGTTGTGAAGGACATTGCTTCACTGGCCCATGTTGGTATTATCATTCTGTTCTTCCCGGGTGAGGCAGATCAGTCGCCGTACATTGGACGGCCACTCACGGCGGATCTTGGCAGCTCACGAAAGCTCACAGTGGCTGCCGACCACTCACGGTAGCTCACGGCAGCCCACTGCATCCTATGCTGTCGCTGGTGACTCATGGCAGCCCAGCTCCAGGTCGAGCTGTTGGTCACCATCTTAGCTGTGGAGGGCGCAGCATCACTGGCCCATGTGGGATCTGAACTGGGCCCTGCTACTCAGAGCTGGTGTCCCAAGCCAACTCTTAACCAACGCACCACTCGGCCAGCCCCAATCTTTTCCTCGTGATGTGATTTTATTTATATTTACATGGACTATTAAAACATTTTGGATTTCCTTTTATTTTTAATTTTTACATGATTGGTCCTATCTTTATATTTTAAATTTCATATAGTACTTCAAATTACTCCTCTAAAGATAAGTAAGGTACTATTTTCTATATTTACAACTGATTTAGTTTTGAGAAATGAAATTTTAACCCATCTGGTATGTCTAGGCTGAGAGAGTTGAATTTCAATTTTCCTTGGGATGATTTCAGTACCATTTATTTATGTTAAATAAACTTTTCTTTTTTCATTGCCCTGTGATGATTACTTTACACATTCCTCACGTGGAATAGTCTCTTTGAGTCTTCTATTGCCTTTTTCTACTTGTCGAAATTCTGTTTATTTTTCTAAATCTATCTCAGTTACCAGAGCTTCATAAAATCTTTCCTGATACCTGGTTTCCATGCTCTAGCCCTAGCTGAAATCTCTTAATTGCCACAGCACTATCTGGAGATATTTCTCATGATACATCATATTTACCTTGACATTTTTAGTTGCCACAGTGAGAGTAGATGCTTCCTAGAGAGCACAATCTTTTTCATCATTGCATCTCCTAGGATATCCATTTTGGTATTATGTACGTAATAGACTTTCCGATAAATTTTTAGTATTTTTTTTTACATTTATGTTCAGTTGGACCTATTGTGATTTCTCTGTTCTCTTCTGACTAAATGTATATATATACCAGTTCCACACAATTTTATTTATTATTAATGAGTAGGTCTGATCCTTCTCATCTGTTCCTCTGTTTTTCAAAAAATATTTTATAGAGTTGCATGTTTCTTTTATCTCAGATGGATATAGAATAACCTTTTCAAGGTCTGAAATTAAAACTTAGATACTGTGTTTGTTGGAATTAAATAATAATGCACTTTTATAATATTGTTTGATCTGGAAACATGTCAATAGACCCTTTAACTCAAGTGCTCTTTTCAGTTTCTGAGATGGCTTTTAAGATTGCTTTGTGTATGTCAGGGGAACTTAAACAAATTGAATTCCATTAGATTTTATCAGGTACCCAAATGAAGAAGGAATGCAGTGTGCTTTGCATAACCAGTTAGACCTGTGTACCATCGTTTGAAATACTGCAGAGCTGTCCATGTGATTGACAGAATGCTATGAAGTCCTAACTCTTATGTTCATGTTTTGCTGGAGGCAAATAAATTTTAACACTTAACGTGAAGGACCTCTAGGTTTGTGGGTTTTAGATGCCTGGATTATCTGATTTATATATTATCTAATCACTATTTATGACCTGATATTTGATTTCTAGGAGTGGAAACAATTATAAGTGCTTTATTATTTTTGATTTATTAAGAATTAGGATAAATAGAATTTCCTCCAGGGTTTTATGCAAGTGGCACTGGTTTTTCTCCTGTGGTTTATGAAAGTGGCCAGCCAAGCCACTTGTTTTGTTTATTTTTGGGTGGCTGCAGTCGGCCTTAGGGAAGGAAATTTTTCTTTGGCAGAAAAAACAAAAAAAAGTGTTTATTCCATTTGTAGTAACATTGATCCAAAAGGAGCTTTTGAGGAAACGCAGAGTGGTTAGGTTTCGAACATAAATGGCCCCTATTTATCTCTTGATAGAGAAAAGTAAAAAGATTAGGACTAATAATATATAAATTTTACAGACAATACAAAGTTCTAGAGCAGAAGTTACAAATTGATGGTTCATCAACCAAATGTAACCCTCAGACTGTTTCTTTTGGCCTACTGAGTGTTTCTAAACTTACTTAACTAGTTGATAGCATGTAAAAAGTGTTTTACATGAATATCCAGCACTGGATCCCCTGCATTTTTATTTAGCATGGCATGTTGATAGCAGTGACACCCTTTAGATAAGAATACACGTTTGTGTGTCCTCGTCTGCACTTCTTACCTGGTTCTTGCCAACCCCATATGCATTTAACTTTGCAACCCCAATTCTAGAGGCTCTTGAATACAAAAGTAATAGTAGGTCTAATACTAATGCAGCTGAACGATGAACTTTGAGTTAACAGGAGACAGAATAGTAGGCATGAAGATTTTAGGTTATGAGTTTGAGTGGGATATGGGATGTGTGAGAAAGAGCAACTGGAAGGTGCCATCACCTGAGATGGGGGAGGCTGCAGGCAGATGGGATTTGAGGGGGAAAGATGAGTTCAGTTTTAGATGTGTTAAGTTTGAGGTATCAGAAATCTTAGTGGAGATACTGAGTAGGCAGTGGTATAAGGGTCTGGAGTTGGAGAGGAATGTCAGACTGAAGGAATGAATTGGAGGTGTGTAGATGATGCATAAAGCCGTGAGATGAAATGAGACCACAGAGGGAATGGAGGACCCAGGACTGAGCCCTGGGGCATGCCGGCATTCGGGGGGCTGGAGAAGAGGACGTTGGCCAAGGAGATTAGTTGGAGCAGCTGTGAGATAGGATGAAAGCAAAGGAGTGTGGTATCCTTAAGGACAAGTGTCTTGACCTGGTTTCACCCCAAAAGCAGAGCCTGAGACAGGGACTTTCTAGGCAGGTAATTTATTTGGGGACCTGTTAACAGGAAACAGAAGTTAGAAAACTTGAGCGAGTGAAACAGGAAGGAAGGAAGGAAGGTCAATCCAAGAGTGCATTGTTGACTGGTCCCTTCTGTGGGCAAGTTGGACTTGATCTTGAGAAGGCCCTCGGGGAAGACATGAAGAATATGACTCTGGTGGGAAGAAGGGGATAGTTATCTACCAGATCCCATCCGGCATTGGTCAGGGGGTGCCCACAGGGTGTTGGTGTTAACACCTTCACGCCCTCAGGGTCGTATGTCTCTCGACGGCTGAAGAGTTCCTGTGGGCAGAAAGTGTACCCCAGTGGTGCAGCTAAGGGAAGGTGCCCCAGCTGAGTGAAAATGTGAAGTTGGGCACAAGAGGTGTCCCAAGCGGCCCACCGCCTTAAACTCTCTGCAAAGCTCTGGCCTTTTAGTCCGGCCCACTACAGAGCCCTCAGAGTGGTGGCTGGCCACTCTGCATCACACCCACCGCAGGAGGGTCGGTGGGGTCCTTGTCTGTATTTCAGTCTTGTACCGCTATTCTAGGTTTTCCTCACTCAGCCAGCAATTCGGGTTGAAGCATTTTCGTGGTATACTGACCCAGACCTTCCTCAGGGATCAGTGCCTGTAGTTGCCTGATCCTTGGCGGGTTGTAGTTGCAGCTGCCCGTTTCTATTAGCGCTCCCACTGGGCATGGCAGCCCCAGTGAATCCCCTGGATTCTTACTGTACTGTCCCCGTTCCCACTGTGTAGCAGCAGCCCTAAGTCCTTGTGGTTGTTGGGGTCAGTTTATAGGAACCTCTCCGCCTCCCCCAGTATGGTATAGTAACCCCTTCTTTAGCATGACCAGGCGATAGCAGTTGCTTCGGAATTCTCCCTGTGCCTTCTGGCAGGAGCTCCTTCTATCCTCCCCTAGAATCAGAAATTCTAATCCACTGGTATCTAAGGTGGCCAATCCTACTTCCACCTGTTGGTTCCTGGGCCCATGTTGTGTTTCTGTTTCTGTTTCTGTGTTTTTAATGTCAGAGACACAGCACCATGTTTCAGCCTTCAGAAGACAGCGTGTGGGTCAGGTCATGTACCACCTTGGAAGGCAGTGCCTCATCCCTCAAGATGGTGCCAGGCACTTTTATACATAGGAATTGTACATTTGTGAAACCCAGGACTCTTGGATTATAGAATAAATAATTAGGGAAAGAATTCTCACATAAAGGTGATTAGTCGCATGTGTCTTCTCAGGGTTGTGAACTAGTTTGTTTACAGTGGCTGTAATTGCTCTTAGTTGCAAAGTTGGAATAAACTTATCTCGAAGATTTAATTTTACCTAAAATTGTTTTAGGCTTTGAAATAGGAAAACCATTCCTAGAAAGGACTTTGTGGTTCACTTGAATTTTGCCACATGTGCCTTTGGTAAATAGCAGGTCATTGTCACGGACTAGAAGGATCTTGGTACCTATAGTAAAACTGACATTTTAATAGCACACTGCAACTGAGTGCACTTAAACTGCGATAAGAGTAGAGAGACATGCCTCTTGATAATTTTAGGCCCCTGTTACAAGAATAAAGAGTTTTTACTATTTTTTCCCCTTGTTTCCTTCTGCTTCATAAGCTATAATGAGAACTGTGTACTTTTCTTGGTTCACGTATTATTAGTCTTTGAGGATTTTGAGGTTGATAGCGAGGGTGTTTTATCACCTATGGGTGTTTTCCAGGGTGTAACATAAATGTGACATAATGCCTTACTCTTAGTAGGTCCTCTGTAAATGGTTGAGTGACTCCAAGGACACACACACACACACACACACACACACAGCATATACTATGTGTTATGTGATAGCATTCATGAACTTTATTGTTAAAGTTAGTTTTAATAATTAAACTTGTTTTAAAGTATAATAATGTTTTAGACTTTCTTCCTTTTTTTCTTTCTTTAAACAGATAGAGGGACGAGAACAGAATCACCAGCACTGGCTGAAGGTAAATATGTCTGGGGGAAATGATTATTGAAATGCAGATGAAAAGTTATGATTTAAATATAAAACTACATTGGCTAAGCATGATTGAAAGAAAGTGTTCTCTACGTGATACTGAACTGCTTAAAATGTATTTAGGAAATATATTGTTTAGTGTCTGGCTTAGAATAGGAAGCACTGGGGAAATGTAATTTACTTAGACGGTTTCTTTACAGCTTTCTTTGAATAGGAGAGGTATGTGTTTTGGTTTTTGTAAAAATTTCTTTTTAAGTCATTTTAACTATCACCAGTGTGGCTAATCAGAATAGACCTAAGCCATAATTCTAGAAGCTTAAACTATTTATTTATTTGGAAGCCAGAAGGGAAGACTTCTATCTTAATAAGGTACTATCTTAATAAGAATTCTACCAATTATTGGTTTTAGTCCCTTTTGAAAAGTCTTAGAAGTAAAGAACACAACAAAAAATAGTTACTGTTAAAGGGCCCTGAGTACTTAAAAATTTATAATCCTGTAATTGTTTTAATTAGAACAAGTTAATGGGTATTTGAAAGTGTAATTTTTCTGTACACACTTTGTGTTCTTCAAGTGAAAATGGTCAGCTTAAAATCCTTTCGGTGTCCTTCCAAGTTATAAACAGATGTTTACATTTCAAAACTTGCCTGTCATTTTATTAGAACTGACATGACAGTTACCATCATGGTCCTTTGGAATAGTCATCCCTTACCTGCTTTGCATGGACAGTGCAGAGATTCTCACCCGTTCTTGGTGCCATGGACCTCTCGGTAATCTGGTGAGGCCTGTCACTCCCTTCTCAGAATAATGATTTTAATAATGACTCCTGATTTTATGACACCAAATACACAGGGTTAAAAAGTAAACCTGTTATATTGAAATATAGGTAACATATTAAAAATACAAAGTTTTGATAGAGTAATACGCATATGTATGCTTCTTACATTAGAGAGTAAGCTTTGGCGACAATTCTGTTAAGTACTGTCATTTTAAATAGTGATGAGTTTGCAGTAATTGTAATGTAATATGAAAATACCTCTGATTTCTATTGATGACAGATTCATAGGTATTTCTAATACTACTGTGGTTTGTTGCTGTCATCTTGGTTGAAGAAATCGCTAAATTTCACATAATGGTTAGTGCACAGGTTCCCTTCCACATTCCCAGGTCACTGAGTTCTTTCTCTGGACCCCAGATTAAGAACACATGGCATTGGAAAGTCAGCTAGACCTTTCTTTCTCTATCCTATTTGAGTAAGTGTAGATTTTATGTTCCGTATAATTAATCCTAAAGAAGTCGCATTATACATCCACACCTTAAGAAATATCCTAATGGTGCAGGCTAGAAGTTCTTGAAATAGCTTTGAAGAAAACTTCTGTTTGCTGGTTATAATACTTACGGAAGCCACAACATATTATATGGGAAAGGGAGTAGAAGATAAGTGTTAAGCCTGGGAGAGTACCGCTCTCCCAAGAACTCACCTTCTCATTCAAGGAACGTGAAATACACCTGTAAAAAATAAAATAGTGTGAGATGCTAAAAGTTTATTTAGAGAAATGTCATAATTAACTGCTATAGGAAGGCAGCACATAGTAAGTGCTCTGATGCTTGTGTTATGGAAACAAGCAAAAAAGGTCAAGACTTATAAAAATCCAATGTTTTCCAGTTACTTCAGCAGTATGAACTATACAGTGATCAATTTGCCAGCCTAAGTTAGGAAGAGCCTGGAATGGTGTCACTAAATTGAATATTTGTTCAGCACTTTGTAGCTGACTACAAATAAAGGGAATGGTAGATCTATTGAAATTTGGTAGATGGCAAAACCAGCACAAATATTTGTTTTGAAGGGGACATGGTGGGGCACCTGACTTCTGGAGTTTTTTGGTTGTGGTGCTTGATTCTTTCTATCAATGTTACCTGGCCCTGATGCCGTATTTTAAAGATGTTCTCAAACGCCAGGGTCATTGGATTAAGTCTCACTTTTTAAAAACTATTTTGCTGCTTTTGCCAAATCACCAAATTTCTCTAGTCCTCCATTCCTTCTTTTATAAAATTAGAGAATTGAGCTACACGATTTCACGTCATGTCATGACCCCTAGATAATCTGGGCCTAGATTTTCTGTTCTTTCTCATTCCCTTCACTTCCTTCCTTTCTCTTCTCCTTTCTCCCTGCTAGCACCTTTAGACCAATGGTAAAAATACTCAAGTTAGGTAAGCCAAGTTAAATGATTTGAACTTCGGTTTAAACAAATATTGCTCTTGTTTATGCTAGGCGAAACTTTAAAAGCTATAATTATTAGATAATATACTTAGTTTATAAAAGTTTATATGATATCTACATTCTGCATTTGGTCTTCCTTGATGGTTTGAAAAGTCCATTTAAAATTAATATGCTCCACTATAAGAAAAAAATGGATCACCTCCTATATTTTTTTAACCAAGTTTTTCTTTTTGTTTTTGGGTAAATCAGCTTTTACAGTTTTACTTAGTGAAAGGTATCAGGCCTTGTCATTTGAAAGTAGTCATGGGATATGATTTTTCAAATTTACTCAGGGAATCTGTCTCTACTCTTCAACTGAAGTAAAATATTTTTACAAATACTACAATGAAAACACATTTGGTTATAATTACCATCTCCTCTGCAAGATGAAAGTGTAATGAATGACCTCTGCTGGAGTCTCTTTAGCATTATAAGAGATACTGATTTATAAATGTAGAGAAATTATTCAAGTACATATCTTAAAAATTATGATTACCAAGAAAAAGAAATTTATATTTTGTTTTTGTGCTGTTTGATTATGATGAGCCTGGAGGAGTTATATTTTAGAGAATGATTTTAATTGAAATTCAAAAACAAGGGAAATACTGGCTGTGCCCTCCTGTAATTTCACTGTATAAATTTCTTTTGTATGCCAGGCTCAAACAGAAAGACCTGACAAATGGTAGAGAAATATTTAAGGACATTTCTTAGTTACCATCTGTCATCTTTTCTTAGTCATTGTATTTCTGTTCTTAAATTGTTTTCCTCTTAGAATTTTATTCCTAATTTAGAAATTTTAATACTAGTATTGAATTAATTTCTTTCAGGAACAATTGAAAAAATTTTAACTCTTTTTGGATGAATTACGTGTGCTTTCATTTATGACTAAGAAGCAATATGGCCTAATGGTTAAGAGAACTGTTAGGAGCCACATTCGTGTGAGTGAGAATTGCAGCTTCTCTGTTTACCTTGAGCAAGTTACTGAATCCTTCTGACCTTCAGGCTGCTCAGAAGTAAAATGAGGGTTGTAATGCTTACCAACCTCATAAAATGGCTGAGGATTTTCTAAGATAATGCTTTGCATATACTGCTTAGCATAGTATGTGGCACACAGTACGATCTCATCCATTGACTTTTACTTAGTACTTACAGCACCCAAGTCCCTCTGGGAGGTGCTTTGGATACAAAGGTTAAGTTATAGTCACACTCAAGGAAAAATGGTTTTATTGCCCTTAGCTCCTTCAGTCTGTAATGTTTAAGAAGGTCCTTATGATGAGTATTTCCTAAGTAACCCCTTCCAAACTTTGTTCTCTTTCAGAATCTAAATCCTCATAATTGTTAGACAGGAGAGATCTTGTTTGTAATTCTTGCATATGTGAGTGGGTATATGTATATAGTCTGATGAATAACTTTCTTTTGACCTCAGTTTAATATATTTAAAGATATTTCATATATTTAATGGGTAGGCAAATGGCTCAGGAATTGTTTAGTTTGGTTCCAGTAGGCCAGTGAGAACTGGAACAAGTGAGGAGAAATTAACAAGTGGGTGAAATTCAGCTCAGTACAAGCTTTGTATGAGACCCTTGAGGGCAGGATTCATGTTGGAATAATTGTGCATCATTTGATCATTGGCTGAAGTTTCCAAAAAAGTTTGTAAAAGTGGACTGAAGTTTAAATTCGAAGTCATTTGAAAACAGAATGGCTTACTCCTTGGGTGTAGTCACGCAGAGTAAGTATTTAAGCAGACGCTTAGATGGCAGCTTGGCATGGAGGTTGTAGAATAAATTCATACTGAGTTTAGCTGGTCAAGCTTCAGTATTCCATTTTAGCATTTTAGTCAGTTTGGGCTGCTATAACAAAGTATCATAAATTTATTTCTCACATTTATGGAGGCTTGGAAGTTCCAAGATCAGGGTGCCAGCATAATTGGGGTCTGGTGAGGGCCCACTGCCATCTTCTCGCTGTGTCCTCACATGGTAGAAGGGCCAGGGAGCTCTCTGGGGTCTCTGTGAGAAGAGCGTTAATTCTAATTCTACTCATGAGGGCTCCGCCCTCATGACTTAATTACTTCCCAAAGGCCCCATTTGGGTGTCAGGATTTCAACATATGCGTTTTGAGGGGACACATGGTAGCATAGATAGTCCTACCTGGTCCAAGATTTTCTTATTCATTGATGATTGGATATAAAGTCATTCTGCTTGATGTCTTCCACTCGACATAGTGACTGTTTCCTGTTAATGTTAAGAAGAGACCCCAATTGCTCAAAACAAAGTAAGGGATACCTCATTTCAGAGAATACTTTATCTTTTAACTCAAATCATGAGAAAAAGAAAGTAGAAGGATGAATTTTAAGAGCCTCTTAACCAGGTTAGTCATAGTAGGATAACTAGGATTGATGCTTATTCCTGTACAACAAACCCTGGCAGATTTCCTTGTGTATCATTTATACAAATTGAAAACAGAACAGTACTGTGTTGTTTATGAGTACATACCTTTGTAGTAAAAATTCTTAAATATGTTTGGAAAGGAAGCATACTTTGAAGTCCTGATTATGTTAGGAGATTGGAGGAGAGGAAAGTTGGTTGGGGGAGGTTGGGATGGTTAACTGCACAAAAGAAGTAGGGAGGCATCTGAAGCAAATAACGGCAAAGTGTTACAGCTTTATCTGGGTGGTAGAACATGTGACTATGATATATTTTATGTTTGAATTGTTTCCTAATGGAAAGAAATA